CTTGGGGAGGGGACATGGGAAAATCCTGAGCCAAATTTTTGAGGCCCTGATGCAAACAGCTTCCGCTTGTCAGTTCCTCCAGCTGCCTGTGGGGAGTGCTGCTCTACCTGGACATGGAGTCAGTCAGAGCCTGGGAGGGCAGCCAGCTCCCTGCCCTCATTGGCCAGTTGAAGCCCAAAGTAAAAGACTCCAGATTATAATCAAACTTTGGCCTTTTAATGATCTTTCAACCTAACAAAATTTTTCACACAATGTTTAAGGTTTAGGAATCCCCCCCATAAAGATGATCTATCTAAGTTAATGTTCCATTAGCTCAACTAATACACTGTAGACATAGCAATACAATAGCATTTCTCAGTGCTTTTTTGAGCAGAGTATTATTCTCTTTTCTGTTTGTTTTTTCCATTTCCATGAGATATGGCCATGAATACAAGACATGAGCATTGATACAGGCAGCCTGTGCTTTTCCTATTCAACACATCTCACACCTGACATGCTTACCTTATGTAAGGGTCCTACAGTGAATTATGAAAAACACGGGTTGAAGCAATAGGCAGAGAAATGTCACCTGTGCTAAGATTTTAACCAAGAGCCACACAAGGTATTTAGTCTTGCAGCAAATGAATGATGCTCACATGCAGGTGACCCTGCACAGGTGTGACTGAGTCATTCTGAGTCAGATGTGAGCGGAGCAAGTTTCCTTCCCACTGACCAAGGTGGCTTCTGTCCTGCTCACCCCTGTGAGAAGCTTGCTCTTTGCTCCTGGCTCTTCATGCTGGGAAGATGCTCTTTTTTTTCTGGAAGGCAGAGCTCGGGCTGTCATGGGAGAATGAGGAGACCTTATCTGTGGGCTTTGAACTTCCCGGAATCACAGGTCTTTGTTTTTCTCTGAAAACCAAATTATCAGAGAGCAGAATATCAGAGCAAGGGCCCCTTACCTGCCCCAGTTTGTACTGAAAAGACTTTTCTAGTGCATATCACCTAGGAGGTCTCCAGGAGCCTGAGACTGGCTGAGTCAGTCCTCACTGAGGCCCAAGCAGCAGGGAAATGTGTGATGCTTCCCTCTTGTGTCATGGTTCATCCAAAGATTGAGTTTTCTTTGAAATCCCAAAATCCTGTCACTTGAAATTCAGAGCCTTGCAGAGGAGTGTTCAGTGGCTCAAGTGGTGGAAAAGTCTCCAGTTGGATGAGTTCCTGCATCTGTCTGTACTTTCACAAGTGTCTAATTTAGAGGTCAGGTATGCTTGTAGAGCAGAAGCCATAATAAAGTAGGTGTAGAAGAGTGTGTTAGACAAGCAAGGGAGATGGTAAGAGAGACCATGAAAGCTTCCCAATCCCCTTCACCTCTAACACACGTGGTCCACATCTCCCAGGAACATACAGCTGAGGGAGCATGGACAGCAGAGACTGAGAGCTGGAAATTCCATGTTTAGAGCCACAGGTTTCTTCGTCTTCCTGTTCCACCAGCAGATCTAATCCCCTTAGGCACATCAGAGATAAGGTGTCCTCAGCCACCATCTGTCCCTCCATGTGACTCAGTGTCCAACAGCTATGAATGACCTTTTTCTTGAGAATCAAATTCAGATGTAGACTCAGCAGTGGACACGGTCCTCCAAACCCAGGGATCAGAGTCAGCAGCGTAGAATCTGCCCTGTGGGCACACTGTTCGTGGCTCCTCTGCACACCCAGCATAGCCCTACTGTGTAGAAACAGTCCTGCTGCCAACAGTGAACACTGTCATCTTGGGGGGTACTTTTTACAAAACTCTTCACAAGTCTTGTCAAAGGATCCTGGTTTAGAAATGCTGGCTGGAGACACCTGACATTCAAACATGAGCGTGAGAAGTTTGAGGATTCTTCCTGGCAACAAATTAGCAGAATCAATAGACATTCCTGGAAGACTGGAAATGTGTGACCTTGGACCAGACAGGAGATCATTGTTAATTAGAGAAAGAGAGAGAGAGAGATAAAGTTGAGTTGCAGCATATAAAACAGAGAAAATGATGCTTAGTACTCAATTCTTTCCATTTTTAGCAGTTGTATAATTTTAAAATTAAACTGGTATTACTTTGCTTCCAGAGTATGCAATATTATTATTATGGTAAAATAAACATAACAAAATATTTTACCCTTTTAATCATTCTTAAGTATGTAATTAAGCAGTAATAAGTACAGTAAAAATATGCAAACATCACCACTATCCAACCCCAGAGCTTTCATCAGCCCACACGGAACCTCTGTATCTATTAGACAGCTATTTGGAAACTTGGACATTGTGGACAAAATGACGAGTGTGTGATAAAAAAGATCCCAATCATGAACCAAAGATGGTGTTTCCACTTCACCTGCAGCTTCTGTGAAATCTCACTACAGTAAGGAGTTATGCCTTATCCAGGAACCAGAGGAGACACAGCCCCTGGGGCCCTTTCTGGGCTGTTTCTTCCCACGGAGCAGAGGAATTTCAACAGGATGGTGCCCTCTGAGACAACTCTATTCTCTCCTGAAGTACGTGTGATCACTTCTGGGATCCTCGTTTTCAGTTTACTGAACTGATCTCTACAATAGTTGAATGATCCTGGAAGATGAATTTGGATTTGTACAGATCCATACAGGCAATAGAGGCATTTGCAATATCTGTGCCAGATGGGGATCTCCTGCAACAGAATGCTATGTCTGCAGGTGCACAGTTACACCATTGAAGCAGATACTGAGGTCTTGTCCATTACCCTCAGAGACTAGGATCAGAACCAGTGCGCATTCACGTGGGATGGACAACCGTACACATTCACAATTTTCTGCCCAGCATCATTAGCTCTCCATTCCCTATCAAGATATCATCATGGGGGCTCAGACCATCTGGACATCAGAGTTGAATCGCATGTACATAATGGGCACGGCCTATTGCAAGCTTTGTGAGATCCATGCAGTTTTCAGAGTGGGAAATAAAAGATGTTTCCTCCTCCATATTAGCTGACATTGGGAGTTTAGTTGTCTGGAGCAGCTGAGAATCTCCTACAAAATAAAGAACATGTTATTATATCCTTCAACTGCCCCCAGGAAGAAAGAGACACAAGGTCTATAAAGGTCTAGTGGTAGCATATTTTACACTTGGGGATGTGGCTCAACCCATGTATCAGGAGCCATAAATATCACCCATTGTTTTCCAAGCCCAGAGCACTGAGGCTCTGCAGCAGGTGCAGGCAGGGTTGTAAGTGTCTTGCTGCTGGGGCCAGAGAATCCAGCTGACTCTACTGTGGGAACTGAAACCTCCTGCACATGGCAAACCCCATTGGAGAATCCCAATGTAGACTCCTGGGGTTTTGGAAGAAGGCCATGTCATGTGCAGTAGAGCATTACTTCCCTTTCTAAAAACAGCTCCTTTTGTCTTACTGGGCCCTGGGAGAGACAGGATAACACTGGACATCAAGCGACCATGTTGCCAGAACTGCCAGATCCCCCTAGTTGTGAGCTCAGACAGGCCAGCAGTGGCCTCAGGTGAGATGGATGTGACACGTCTAGGATAGAACAGGGTCAGGCCTCCAGGACTCAGTCACCTGCATAAACAGCCAGTCCTCATTTCTCTTCCACCCGTGCCTCTCCCTGGCTTCGCACATATGTCCTACAGGTGGAGATGGGGCTGAAGCAGGTTACTCCAAAGCACCTGTCATCTGAAGGGGTAAGACCAGACCAGCATTGTACAATCACAACATGATGTGAGCCTCATGTGAATCCTACTGTCTAGTTACCATATTAGACATAAAAAATGAAAAGGTAAACTAGCTTCAATAATATATTTTATTTAACCCAATGTGTGAAAAATAATATTTACACATGCACACAATCTAAAATTATTTGTGAGATATTTCATAGACATTTTCATAGATACTGTTACTATTATTATTTTGGGGAGATTCTTTTTGTTGAGATTGTGTGGTTGATGGAGGCTTGAAGGAGTCCAATTGCCAAGGGTGAGCTGTGCTGACTTCGTCAATATCAACTTCAATAAGCTGAAGGAAGGGTGAAAAGAGTAATTGTGCAGGATGTGCAGGGTGGAGGTGGGCAGCGTCCATCCTACAGCTGCCCCTGTAGGAGTATCTCTGGTCCCTGCATGGGGTGAGGCAGCTCCCCTTTCCATGGATTTCTTGCAGGAGGATCTGACTCCACCTATCCTTCAGGACTCAGAGCACCTGGTATGTCAGGCTCCCTTTTCATTTCATAAGAACAGAAGGAACACTCAGATGTAGTTGGGCATTTGGATGCTCACAATGGAAACTGAGGGAATTCGCTGGTGCCTTCCAGTGTATAGTGGCCACCTCAGGTCTATGGTGGCTCATTTTGGTGAGAGCTGGCCATCTTAGTTTGTGTTTCCTGGAAATAGACTCTGAGATAAAGATTTGCATGCACAGATGACCTGGATGGAGTGAGGAAGGCACCACTTGCAGGATACCCTGACCCATCATAGGGCTGCAACTGACACCTCAGACATCAACAATGGTAGGTCACGAGCTGGAAGGGCTTTCAGTGTTATCCTGTATTAAGGCAGGGCCTTGGGTTCTTGGTCCCAGGCCATCATTAAATGAAAACTCTCAAAACTGGACCTAAATATGAGGAAGGAAGTTTTCTGGAAACAATAGCACTTTCCAGTGAGGGCACAGCCCTGAGATCCTAGAAGCTCCCAACAGTTGAGGGTTGGTGAGCTCAGAAAAGGGTTTTGAGGCAGATGCCACAGTGCCCTCTCCTCAGCTTTTCCTGTTCAAAATCCCAGGCTGCCATGGAAGACTGGAACCTCAGGTATTGAACTGAGCTGGCATTTGTTGGGACTGATATAGGATATTTTGAAGGCGTGACCCAGTCACCATCGTATGGAAATCTAAGGCCAAGTGATGTTTCTCTACATCTCTCTCATCTTCCATCCAGTTCTTATGTTCCCAAGTCACTCCCAAAGCCCGAAAACACCAGTAAAGTCTGAATATAGCAGCCCGAAATCCACTCCTGATCCACCCTCTGCAGAGCCAACCTGTAGGGCTGGACAAAAGGATGGCCTGGAGGTCTCAGATCCAGTAGAACTTGGCCAGACCTGCTCATGGCTTGGTCCACAGTCTTCCTGGTGCTGGAGGAAGAAGATAGCACAGATGAAAAAGGGGTTTGTGTCTCACCTCCCCATCTGCCTGTGTCACTGTGGGATTGTCCTCATCCTCAGAAAAAGAGCAATAGCCTCATCTTTGTTCAGGCCCTGCTGATGGTCAGGATGGTCGTGTTCCCTCAGGTGGACCCAGAGAATCACTCAGGCATTCCAGAAGGCCACTCACCATCTTTATATATCAGCAGCACAGGGGCCTGGCCTGGTTTCCACTGGTACCAGTCAGCATAATTATCCCTCAGTACATCTCCAGAGCAGGTGATCCTGGCTGTCTGTCCTGGGGACACTGACACCAAGGGTGGCTGTGTCAGCTCATAGGAGGCCACAGAGCTTGCGGGAGAGGACAGGAGAGGGGACTTGAAGATAACAAACACATTTCCAGTGGTATCATTCTGGGGCTCTGCCTGGGCTAAGCTCAGAAAATGCAGAGCTTTCAGGGTTCAGGGCAAGACCAGCTCAGGGCCCTGCGAGGGCTGAGCCTGGGGCAGGGCTTGGGGGCAGCACCTGTGCAGAAGCTGAGGAGGGGGAGCCGGAGAAGGGTCCAGGCTGTGGTAAGACACAGAGCCCAGAGCTCTGCTTCCTGAGCTTACAGCACAGCTGGGCTCCCAGACCTCTCTTATTTCCTCTCAGGCCCGGTGGGACACTGCATGTTTGGTGTTTATGCAAATTTACTTCTCTGGGACTCCTCATGGTGGGATGTCACTCAACCCAGATCTGGCAGACACAGTTCAGCCAAGAACTCTCTACCCTACAGACTCCAAAACTCATGTCTTTTTCACTTGTAAAGCACATTCACCCCATCCCAACAACCCAAATCCTGAACTAACTCAGCACCAACTCTAAGACCAAACTCTCATTTATGTGTCATCCCACTCAAGTGTGGGTGATTCTCCAGGTCTATTGATCCTGAGGATTTAAAGAATAACAGCTTTGGGGGTTTCACCTCCTCTCTCCTGTTGTCATCTGGGTGTTCAGGAAAGTCAAATTTCTCACTTTATTTGCTAAGATTAGAAGAGAAGAGCGAGTCAGCATCAGCAACATCTGTGAGGTACATGTGAGGAAATCACATCTGTCCACTAGTGAAATAATTTACATAAGTTACATACTCGTTAATTGAATGTATTAATCAATAGCCTTGGAATATATTTGTCAGTGTTTAGAAAAAACCAGAAATGATACAGAAAGTACAACAAAAGTGTATTAAGTTAAATTGTTCTAAGAGAAGAGTATGTCCTTATTAAGAAAGATAAATCACAGACAAAAATAGTCTAAAGAAAATTCATCTCATATGCGTATTAAAATACTATTTCCAATGTTAACATTAAGCATCCATATTTTGATATGCAAATAGAGACTCTGTAATGGTTATACAAAGTGCATTATTTTTTCTATTTGATATGACATTTTGTTTAGGTTCCCTTGTGGAGTGAGGTGATCTTGACTGTAGGGAAGAAGGATGTTCCAAGGGATGTTTACTTATACACACAGACACACACACACACACACATATATATATATAAGGATAATTTGCAGCATAAACATATTTACACCAAAAATGTGCTGTTCTTTTCCTGGCAACTTGCCTTGGGGTCTTTATAGTTTAACATCTCCAGCACTCTTCCTTATCCCACTGTTAAATTCTGTTCTAGAATTTTCATGGATTATAAAAATATTCAGTACATTTAAAACTTAAACTATTTGTTTATTTGTCATTCTCAGAACCTCCATGTTCTCTTCTGTTTTTGGCTTCAGTCAAATGCTGATATTAGGATCCTTCTCTCTGAGCCTGCCCTGGATATTCCAGCTTTGGTACAAGCTTTCTGGCCCACGTGCCCCTCCCACTCCCTCAGATTTTGCCTTAGGAGAAGTCTATTCCTGATAAATTAAAGCTCTCCCAAAACTCAGAGCAAGCAATGCAGAAAAATGTTATGTGATTGTGACCCAGGGCTGTCTTAAATCCATGATCCAATCAAATAGATGATATGAGCATGTTCTTATCCAATGAAAGACCTCAGCCTAATACAGGTGAAATACAGTGACCCTCACAGAGAGATCCCCACCTAGATCATATGCTGGTGGAATTTTCAACCTTCAGATAAACCTACAAACCAGGGACTGTTCAACCACATCCTGTGACCATCCCTGGCCTGACACCTATTTTTGTATGACTCAGAGATGACAGTGTTTTTTTATCATTTTAAATGTTTACATTGTAAATGATGCTATACGTACATATGGAATATCCCCAAGGTTGATTCTTGAGCCATAAAGACTAAACAAATTCTTTTTAAAATTTATTTTTATGTTCTTTAGTTTAATAGAGATGAGAGTTCACTGTGAGGCCCAGGCTAATCTCAACTCCTGGGAGCAAGCAATTGACCCGTCCTACTCTTCTAAAGTGCTTGGGATTACAGGCGTGAGCCACCGTGCCTGGCCTCAAAGACTCAAATTCTCCTTACCTGGATATTTAAGAAAAAGTTTAGCAAATCCTAAAAAAGAAAATGTACTGAACTATTTCTGAAAAGGCCCAATCTTAAGCAGAAGAGGAGACTCAAAAGTAAAACTATAACAAGGTACCATTTTTTAGTCTGGTAGGTTGGCAAAAATTTACACTTTCAACAATGTACTCTGAACAAGTACTTCTGGCTGGCGTTGAAAATTGAAAGAACCCCTCTGGAGGGGAATCTGACAACAATGGGAGAAAATTACAAGCACACATCTTTCTGAATAGCAATTTCACTGTTAGAAATGAATCCTATGCTCATATTCACACAGGAACTCAAAGGAGGCTGCATAGGGATGTTTGCTGCACTCTTATTTCTAAGATCAAAGTTGTGGCGACAACCATTAGAATGTAGTTGACTAAAATTCTACCCACAGTGTGGGAGATGGTGATGTATTTAGGGTGGAGAGACACTGAAAAAAGCAGTGACTGCATCAATCAGGCAGCTCCTTGTCACTGTCCCTGCAGTTGAAGAGCTAGGAAGAGTTGCACATTCAGGGACCATAGCACACAAGCATCAGGAAGCTGTCCCTGTCCTGGATGAGAAACCACAGGGCAGGTTTCCTTTTGGACTTCATGGTGGGAAAGGAGAGGAGCTGAGAGAGAAGAATTCTGAAGGTCATGCTGCAGGAAGCCCCTTGCACGGGGTGAGGAAGCATCTTCAGAGCAGAAAGGGAGCCTGAGAGCCCAGGGCAGGTTTTGGTCTCAGTTCCCCATGAACTTGGACCACTGTGGAAAGTGCTACTGGTTGTATATGAACAACAGTAATAATCAGCCTCGTCCTCAGCCTGGAGCCCAGAGATGGTCAGGGAGGCCGTGTTGCCAGACTTGGAGCCAGAGAAGCGATCAGAGACCCCTGAGGGCCGATTACTGACACCATAAATCATGAGTTTGGGGGCTTTGCCTGGGTGCTGTTGGTACCAGGAGACATAGCTATAACCACCAACGTCACTGCTGGTTCCAGTGCAGGAGATGGTGACCGACTGTCCAGGAGACCCGGACACAGAGGGAGGCTGAGTCAGGGCAGACTGAGCCCAGGATCCTGGAAAGAGGGAGAAACACACTCCAGTGAGTCAGTGCTGGGCCCAGGTGAGCCTGAGGAGCAGGAGACCAAGGATCAGCCCAGAGGACCCAGAAGCCCCTTCCCTGGAGGTGTCACCTGTGCGCTGAGTGAGGAGGGTGAGGAGGACCAGAGCCCAGGCCATGGTGGAGACTTCCCAACAGCACTGTCTCCTGAGACCCCAGCACTGAGCCTGACCCAGCCCTGTCTTATCCCCTCTGCCTCAGAGGAGGGCGGAGCCTCCATGCAAATCTGCCCCCTGAGCTCCTCTCCTCACCCCACCCTCACCTGGGTCTGAGTTCAGAGGCTTCTGCTTCCCTGGACAGTGGGGTTCAGCTGAGGAGACTGAAGTCCTTGTTTGTCTATTCTGATGGCAGGAACTTAATTTTTTTGTACCTGATTTCCTCAGGAGAGAAAGATCTGCTGAAATCCCTTACCTGAGTGAGCTCCTGGCCCTCAGTGTCTCTGCTGTGAGGTGCCTGTGTCTCTGTGCACCCTGCAGTGCCCTCTGCCTGGCACCCACCTCCAGGCTGTCTCTACTGTCAGGAAATGGGGCTGCCCACCCCGTGGACTCCTCTGCTGGGTATCGTTGGTCCCTGGTCTCCCCAGCTGCAGCCTCGTCCCATCCCCACCCTCACGCTTTGTGCTGAAGCATCTGCAGCATCGAATCCCTCCAGCACATCAGCCACCCCAGGCAGTGCACCCACATCCACAGGGCACATGTGGGAGGGACCCTGTGGAGGGAACAGGAGCACCGACCAGGTCCACAGTCCTGAGCCTGATTCCACTGCTCCCAGTGCTGCCCTTCCCACTCATCAGCAGACGACGTGTCCTTCCCACCGTCTGGTTCTCAGCCTGAGAAATGGGGACCACAGAGTCCACACTGCACACAGGTGATCCATGGGAATATGACCCAGTAAGGGAAAGGGAAAGTTTGGTAGCAGGCATTTCTGATTGTACCAGAGTGATATTTATTGGGAATGTTTTATTGAAAGATTTTTTCCATTTTACTTTGATTTTTGTTTTGAGTCGCAGATATGTGTGTTTTTTACTTTCTTGGTTTCCTCCATCTTAGCACATCCTTTGGGAACCATAAAACTGACCTCTCTCCACCCTGCAACACTGAAGGCACACAGTCTACAAGTACATTTTTGGTTTTTTTCCTTAAAACGCTTTTAATCTATTTTCACCTTTCTCATTGCCTATGACAAATCTCTCTTAACGTTTCATATTTAAAAAACTATTCGGCCAGGCATAGTGGTTCACCTTTATAATCCTAGCACTTTAGGAGGCTAAGACAGGTGGGTCACCTGA